GCTGGCTGGCATGTGGTGCTGGAGGATTGAACCGTGGTCCCTGTGCTTTGCTAAGCTTGTTTGTTCTAAGTAGGTGCTTTAGACCACTGAGCCATCTCACCAGCCCCAAAAGTGAATCCTTTTTTTTTTTTTTTTTTATTAGGAACTGGGGATTGAACTCAGGCCCTTGTGCTTTCAAAAGGCTTTAAATCATCCTTTTTTTGAAAAGGGAGTTTCCACCTGAATTCTTCAGAAAATCTTGTTGCATTCCGTGCAAGAGCCTTATAGTCTAATGGATATGATTCATCAGTAGACTTACAGCACCCTAGATTCTTTCTTTTCTTTTTTTTTTTGCTCAGAATGCCCGAATGCCTTCAGGGCAGGTTTGGCTGGCTTGAGTTGTGGGGATCGAACCACAGCAACCTGAGCCTGACTGCTTTGCTGAAGCAGCCATGTAAAGAACTGAGCTAAGGGGCAGGCCCCCAAGATTTCTATAATTTAGTCTCTCTGTTTTGAACACTTAAGTTTATCATAATTTTATATCTAGGAACTAGTATTTTTTTTTTGCAAATGATTTTGCATGAGAAACAAATACCTTCAGAGTTGCTATGGCTCACTTACTGTATTTGACTAATAGGTACTAATAGCTCAATTCTGCAGTCCAACCTTCCAGTACCCCATACTGTAAATTAGTTATGCTGCCTTTGAAAATGTAGTAGTAGTGCTAGTAGTAGTGGTAGGGATGTAGATAGGTGGTAGGACACATGTTTAGCATGCAGGATGCTCTGGGTTGGACTCTAAGACTACAAAAGAGAAAAAATAGTGATAGGAGAATTAAAATAATGATTTTTACATAATTTTTCTCAGAATGATTTATTTATAAAAGTGAAATTTTATTTAAAAGTTCAGTAATTATTGATAATTGTAATTTATTACTTCCTGTGGCCAAATGTAATTAGTTTTTTTTTTTTTTTTTCCTTTTAAATCCTTGTTTGAATCAAAATGCTAGACTTACACAAGCACTAGCAACAGCTCTATATCTGGATCACTGAAACGCTTGGAAGATACTACAGCAAGATTTACAAATGCAAATTTCCAGGAAGTCTCTGCACATACATCTGGTGGAAAAGATGTTTCTGAATCTAGAGGGTCAGAGAGCAAGGGGAAGAAATCTTCAGCTCACAGCTCAGGTCAGAGGGGAAGGAAGCCTGGTGGTGGAAGAAATGCCGGAGTGACTGTGTCAGCAGGTAGTCCCTTTCCGCAAGGTATTAATTATGGGATTTTAGTTAAATTACTTTGATAATGGTCAGTCATAATTGTGTAAAAGAATTTTTAAACTATTAGTCAGTGGAACATTCTAGATTATTATGTACTTAGCTGATGTAGTAAGATTACTCCATAGACGTTAGTATTTTCTGTTGAATCGTTCCTAGAACTTTTACTTTCTTTTTTGTTACATTTGTGCTTCCAAAGTTAAACTGTAATTTTAAATAGCTGTGGGTTAAAGATTAAGTTTGGGGAGAAGCTGGGCATGGTCAAGCATGCCCCCTATAATTCTAGCACCTAGTTTGAGGCCAATCTGGGCTACATAGTGAGTTCTAGGCCATCCTGGACCAGATAGTGAGACCTTGTCTCCCTCTTTCTAAAATGAATGAATGAATTGATTGATTAATATATTCAGTACAGGGTCTCACTGTGCACCTCAGACTCCTGGTGATCCTCTTGTCTCAGCCTCCCAGCCTCCCCAGTGCTGGGATTATAGGCATGCACCACCATGCCCAGTTCTATCCCTCTTAAAAAAAGGAAGGAAAAGATTGTAGAAAGAAAAACACAAGTGGAGTTTTTGTTTTGCTTTATAGAGTATTGTTTTCTATGTTTTTTTTTTTCCTTTCCTAATCAAACATTGAAACATTTAAGGAATGTACTTTTAGTAGGTAAACAACTACCTAGGAATCTGTACGGAATCTATCTGGGTCTCAGTAAGTAATAATTACTTGCCAGTAGTGCCTTTATTATAAAGCCCCAAGTTTGATGTAGAATTACATTCAGCCTGTATATGTGGTCAATCTGCTCAGTTAAATTTGAATTTCAGATAATTATATTTTAGCGTTTTAAATACCGTTTGTTAAACTGAAATTGAGAATTTTGGGGACATACTCTTTTATAGAAGGTAGTCCTGTTTTATGGAGGATAGGTACCTCGGCTAAATTTTAGATTATAATGGTATATGATTGCTTTGTGTGAGTTTTTTTTTTTAAACTCCGAATGCCTTCAGGGCAGGTGTGGCTGGCTGGCTTGAGTTGTGGGGATGGAACCACAGCAACCTGAGCCTGACTGCTTTGTTGAAGCAGCCACTTAAAAGCTGAGCTAAGGGGCAGGCCCCCGTGAGTTTTAATATGGACATAAATATTGTGAGGAATAGAAATGCTGAGACTGTTTTAGGAACATACAAACATGAAAATGTCCATTTATGGGCTGGGGTTATAGCTCAGTGGCACAAATGCCTGCTGGTCAAGAGCAAGTTCCTGAATTCAATCTCCAGTCCCACTCTAGCCCCCACCCAAGTTCATTTATACCTTTTGTTTCCATAAAAATAAATGAGGAAAGAGAAGTTTCTTTGCCCCCATTGAGGCTTCTGCTAATTATAAACTATTCAGACATTTAACCAGGGTATATATAATGCTAAGTCTGCCTACCTCTCACTTAAAAGTATATCCATATTTTGTTTTATTTATTTTTTACTTATTTTTATTTATTTTTTATGTATTTGGTACAGGATCTCACTGCGCAGCTTGGACTCATAGTGATCCTCCTGTTTGCAGCCTCCCCAGCAGTGGGATTACTGTCATGCACCTTTACTGCTGGCCTTGGGTCAGCCAGCTCAGTGTGCCTGGGGGTGGGGCTGGCGCAGCATGTGGTGTGGGGAATTCAACCCTGGTTCCTATGCTTGCCAAAGCAGGTGCTTAGTCCACTGAGCTATCTCACTGCCCTTATAGCTATATTTTATATTTATATAAAATATATTATTATTTTTTTATATTTCATATTTTATTTTGGGCTTAAAGATTTTCAGCTCTTAGTGGTGGGTGTGGGCTGTGTCCCTAACACAACAAGTGATTAGAGACATAAAAGAAACCAAATGCCAGATTTACTAAAATGTGTATTGTTATTTTTATACCAGAAAAAAAGTGAAATTTTAACTATCATGAACCGTCACTTAATTTACATTTTGACAGTGGTATTAATAGAATGCAGTCAATTATTTCTGTAATTAAGACCTTATTATTCACTGTTCAGTTACATTTTTAAGCTTTTAAACAATAAAATACTACTCCATTTGGTAGTAGTATTTCCTATGTATTGGAACTTTACAATATTGAATCTTTTTAGCCTTTGTTAAAGCATGGTAGAATATGTGATATGTTTTCATATCTGAAATCTGTAAATATTTTTAAACATTTAAATTTAAAGAGAAAGTAATAGAATTAGTTTTGTTTTTCTCATAGGTAGTAGAGAAAAGACTCATTTAAATTACTGCACATACTAAATATATTAGAGTATTTGCTGTATCACAGTAAGCTTTTTATAGTAAATATAAAAACAGAAAAATGTAGGCAGTATAACTGTAGTTTCAGCTCTTGGGAGGCTGAGGCAGGAGGATTGCTGTAAGATTGGAGGTCAGCCTGGACTATATTGTAAGACTATCTCCGAACCCCCTACTACCACCTTCACCTCCAAAGCAAACCAACAGGAAAGTGAAAAGACATGGTGACAGAGCAGAATAGACAATAAGAACTTATTTACAGCTGCTATTTATATGACAAATTTCATGTAACCTCAAATTATTGATGCAGTGTAAATGCCTTTTTTTAACCTCAGAGAGCAAATTTTTATTTCAACAGGGTTAAGTATTGGGCAGAGTGGGGGGTCACTGGGTCACTTGCACCTCCAGCAGAATGGAAGGAGAGGGATGCATGGGATCCAGATCTCTAGGAGTGGGAACCCTGAGGGGTTAGAGGCAGGAGGACCTAAGAAGCAAGCCAGGACCCAGAGGGACAGGAGTTTGCTAAGGCTGAGGAGACACCAGGACCTGGAGGGTGTGGCTTCCTGAGTGATGCAAAACTCCTAGGAGATATAAATCCATTCTTGTGGGTTAATCAAATTTTGTTTTTCTAGGTAGATACCTGAAAATACCCAGTTAAGAACAAAATCAGTCCTGGTGTGGTGGTGCATGCCTGTAATGCTTATAATCTTTTAACTTGGGAGTCTGAGGCAGAAGGATCACCATGAATTTGAGGCCAGCCTGGGCTACACTGTGAGTCCAAGGCCAACCTGAACTACAGTGAGACCCTGTCTCAAACCACACCACACCACGCCACGCCACGCCACGCCACGCCACGCCACGCCACGCCACGCCACACCACACCACACCACACCACACCACACCACACCACACCACACCACAAAAATCAAACTTTGAAAGGGCCGGGGAGATGGCTTAGTGGAGTAAGTGCTTCCCTGCAAGGGGCTGAGTTCAACCCACGGTTCTGGGGGGGGGGGAAATAAATCCAACTCTGAGAAGGCAACTGTGAATACAATTTTTATATATGAGGGAAAATCATTGTAGATCTCTAAGTGAATTTGCATATTATTTATGAATGTAATCTGCACTAAAATTTAATACTTGGTTTATACTTAATTCCCTTTTCACTCCAGTAAAATAATTTTATTTTCAGCTTTTGTTTCCAAAACACTTTGGTTAAAATATGATCCAGTTTTATGAAACTTCATGGATGTGTTGTCCTAATTGAAGCTGTACAACTGTTAACCTCATTGAGCAAGCACATTAGGGTTTCACAAAATACCAGCCTTGAGTTTCTTTGTTTGGTGCAACTTTGTGGGCTGCTTGTATTCCTTGATGTGAGTTAGGGAAAACAAGCATTCTGTAAGAGGTTCTTGTGAGCTGCCTCTTCCTGAAAGCAGTGGGGGAATGTTGGAGGCTGAGTCACTCAGCTCCACATGGAGTCATCATTTTGCCATGTCCCACTGAATCACAGAAAGAACTCGTCTGTTAAAAGTAAAACAACTTAAAACAGCCTAAGACACAAGTCTTGGTGCTTAATATGTAATGGGAACATTTTTCAGCATATTCCCAAGACTTGGAGAATTACCTTATACTCTTTTTTTTTGGAACTGGGGATTGAATTCAGACCCTTGCGTTTGCCAGGCAAGTGCTTATTCTACTGAGCCATCTCCTTGGCCCCATCTTATACACTTATTAGGTCTTCTTCCACAGTCATCAAAAGGAGACTTTGAGCTCAGCGGATTAAAGCGCCTACAAGCAGGCACAGGGGCAGGGGTTTAATGCCATGCCAGCCAGCTCCCCCCACCCCCTGCTCTGAGATGGTGATTGAATTTGGGTGTGGTGGTGCGTGCCTATAATCCTAGCTCTTGGGAGGCTGTGAGCAGGCGGATCACTACGAGTCTGATCTAGTAGTAAGACCCTGAACACCCTGTAGACCTTCCCTAAAATACAAAAAAAGGGGAGACTTTGAAGCTCCTCAGTTCTTCCTCAAGCAAGAAATGTAATGGTGAAAGTTTTTTAGAAACACATCTTTTATCTTAGTATTTGGATAAATAATAGCTTGCAATTCAAAAGGAAATGTTTAATACTACCTATAAAATGATAAACATATTAAAAGATAATTTTAATATGAACTTAGGCTTCAATAGTGACCTTTTTCAAATGTAGCTGGGGTTTTTCTGATGATTTTTATGGCATCCACTGCTCATGAGAACTTATTTTTTTTTTTAAACTACAGGTGGTTTTTCAGGAACTCCAGGCAGTGTAAAATCATCATCTGGAAGTTCAGTGCAATCTCCCCAGGATTTCCTGAGCTTTACAGACTCAGAGCTGCGCAGTGATAGTTACACTCACTCCCAGCCATCGTCATCAACCAAAGATGTACATAAAGGAGAATCTGGAAGCCAGGAAGGGGGGGTAAATAGTTTTAGTTCCTTAATTGGTCACCCTGCAACCTCAGCTGTTATTTCACAGCCTAAAAGCTTTGAAAGTTCACCTGGAGATTTGAGTAGTTCCAGCCTTTCTACAACAGGATTTAAACGGGCTCAGACTTCAGGCATAGAAGAAGAAACTGTAAAGGAAAAGAAAAGAAAAGGAAGTAAACAAAGTAAGCATGGGCCTGGTAGACCCAAAGGAAACAAAAGTCAAGAGAATGTTTCTCATCTCTCAGTTTCGTCTGCTTCACCAACGTCATCAGTAGCATCAGCGGCAGGAAGTGTTGCAAGCTCCAGTCTTCAGAAATCTCCCACGTTGCTCAGGAATGGAAGTTTACAGAGTCTTAGTGTTGGCTCCTCTCCAGTTGGTTCAGGTAGGGATTTACACATTTTTGTTCTCCCTCAGTCCTACTTCTGACCTCTTTCGTCTGTCTTGGAGAAAGTTCTATATAGTTGTTATGATAATATATTGATTTACTAAGTGACAACATGCCATTTCACTTGTTTTCATTTGTTTAAAAAAATCTTTTGTTTTGGATGTCTAAATATTTGGCATGAGTCAGGATATAGCTCAGCAGCACATGCCTGCCTGGCACATGCAAAGTCCTGAGTTTGATTTCTGGCACCAGTCTGTTGTTACTTAACTAAAATGTTGATTAAATAGTTTCATTGGACATTCATTACTCACAAAACATATAGGACTCATGTCTACTTCATTTTTTTGGTTATATCTGTATGAAATTTTTAAAAGTATCCCATATAGAGGATTCCCATATAAAATATGAATATTTTTGTACTGTGTTTTTGTTTGGTTTGTTTTTAGCTGTCTTTGTCTTTATACTTCATTTTTAGTCATTATTTTCTGAATAAGTTCTCAAATTCTTTTGAGTTACTGTCTGGAACATGTTTTTAATGATATGACAAAATTTAGTAATCACATTTTATGAGCTATCTGAAATGATTTAATTTTTGTTTTCAGTTATGTTTAGTGATTTTGCCATTATTTTTATTGTAACACAAGCCAGTTTGTATATGTTGTGAGTCTCAGCATTGACATGCTTTTGCATATGCATTTTTATATAAATATTTTTAATTTTAAAAATCACTAGAAGTGTATGTTTTAGGGCAGACTATTAACAGTTGTAGTTTTGACAGAAATGTCAGCATTTCTATGGAATTGTACCTTGTTTATGAAGTAAATGGTTGCTTACACGTAACAGTTGTGAACTTTACCTCTCTTCTGGTTTTGAATTTCTGTTTATTAAAATGAGAATTTAGCTAAGATAAACTCCTATAAACTATACCAGTTCTATTACTTGGTGGGAGAAAGGTAGGAAATGGTGTAGAGAAAAAAATACTGTTTAGTGAAGAATGATCATTATATTTTATATTGTATATTTTAAAATCACTGAATTTTTTTAGTGGTGCATATACATATATATGTGTATCAATAAATATGCATCTACATATAAATATATGTTTGTCTTGTATAACTTTAGTGAACAAATATAAGAATAAACCATATATGAAGGTTAGATGTGAGAAATGACATCTCTTAGGTGTTCAGTTCTGTTAAGTGGTTTATGTTAATTACCTCAGCTAACAATAGCAGTATATAAGGTGTTTTTAATGTTTGTATTTTATAGCTGAATAGATGGAAGCTTTGAGAGATACAGATTAATTGCCCAAGATCACATAGCCAAGAATTTTTTATTTGTTATAGTTTTGGTATCAGTGGTGGACTTACTTGCCCTACTTCTTTTCCTTTTCTCCTTTCAGGAATAGTAGAAACTGTAGAAAGATTGTTTCAATAGTGGCTTTATGGGTGCTTCTAGAGCAGGATACTTCACTCTGGGCATTGTGGACATTTTAGCCAGACAAATTCTTTGTGTACAGTGCTACCTTGAGTATTGTGCAGTGCTCACCACTAGCACTCCATTCCACCTTCATAAAAAAGGGATCCAAACATTGCTAAAAGTCTCCAGGAGTCCAGAATTGCCTCTGGTTGAGAATTAGTGTTTTAGAGGTGGGGGGAAAAAGATTACCATGAGATTTAAATACATAGTACATTGAGTCAGCATTTTTAGTTAAATGTCTTTCACTGTGGAGCTAGGCTGGCCTCCAACTTGCACTGATCCTTCTGCCTCATCCTCCTGAGTGCTGGCATTTCTAGGAGTGTGCCACCATGTCTGGTTTAAATCTGCTTTTATGAAAAAAAAAATCTGCTTTTATGGAGAGAGATCAGTGATATTCTCAAGTTTGGAAGATAGTCTGAAAATTCCTGAATTTCAGAAGTTCAGTTTAAATGTTTACTTGAGACACACCCTCAAATTATTGGTTAAAATACAGGTTTATATGACCTGAAAAGATTTTTACTACCAGGTATATAGATTTGGGGGAGATTTTAGGCATGGGAAATAGTACTCCTTATGGGATGGTTACTCTCAGAGGACATTTTTTGTGGCACATTTGTAGTTGAAATAATTGGGTTTGTATTTTACCTTATTTGTAGAGAAATATTAACTTAAGGGAAAATTCTGATGGCTATTAGTGAGTTAAATTAACTTTCACTAAGTTTATTTTAGAGATGGTGTTAGAAATCATAGTTTTTCTTTTTTTTCATAGTTTCTTAAGTATGGAATTAGGTTACTTCTCAACTGTTAGAGATAATATGTATTTTACACATTTTAATAAAAGTTTTGTGAATAGTTTGTTTTCTTACCAGTAAACTTAGTAGTAAAAATTTCCCTTGTTTTGGCTAAATGTCACGAATATATAGGAATTTAGCTTCCTAAGTATTTGTGAAGCATTACTACTTGTTTGTGTCACACACTGTATTAAACACTGATGAAACTGCTAGGGTTCATTATTTAGAACAAGACTGAGGGAGAAATGTCATATTTCTGAGTGGTGGTGGGATGCATTTCCTCTGATATGAGAATTATTTAGTTATGAAATTCAAGACATTTGCCGATGACCATCTAAAAGTACACTGGTCTTAGTTTAAAAATGGGAATCAATGCAAATTGAACCAGTAATTTTAAGTTTCCACAATTATTTTTTCTTGATATGAAAATGTTAATTTTTCTTTTAGATTAATTTAAAAATGTTTAAAAAATTTTATTTATTTGTGTGTGTGTGTGTGTGTGTGTGTGTGTGGCCAGCTCAGCCCACTTGGGGGTTGGGCTGGCTGGCATGTGGTGCTAGGGGATTGATGACAATTTTTTTTTTTTTCCTTGGCGGAACCGGGGGTTGAACTCAGGCCCTTGTGCTTGCCAGGGAAGCGCTTACTCCACTGAGCCATCTCCCTGGCCCGGTGCTGGGGAATTGAACCACGGTCCCTGTGCTTTGCTAAGCTTGTTCTAAGTAGGTGCTTTAGACCACTGAGCCATCTCACCAGCCCCTAGATTAATTTTAAACTGAGAAATTGCCTAGTAACTGCAAAAGTGTGAAACTCTAAAGCAGGAAGGTTAATAAAATGTATGCTACTGTGCTACATCAAGAATTTTTTGGGCTGGGGAGATGGCTCAGTAGAATAAGCACTTGCCTGGCAAGTGCAAGGGCCTGAGTTCAATCCCCTGTTCTCGGGGGCCGGGGGGGGGGGAAGTATTTTTTTATGATGCTCTTTTTAAAAGATTTATTTGCTTTAATGCTGGTTTGATAATTGAGAGATGGTGAAGGTAACCTTCTGCAACATGTATTTGTGTGATGTTGAATATCATATCCACTGTCATACTGCTTTTGTGGGAGTTCCTTTGGTTCACCACTGTGGACATAGAGGCTACCTATCTCTTTTTAAAAATAAATACTATTATTCAGTATTGAGTGTACATTGTGTGTAAGTACTAGTATCCTATGTCATTTTTGTACTCAACTAAGCAAAATTATTTTATTTGTAAAGCATCTGGTATAACATTGCAGTCCAAGTGAGGATGAGAAGTGGTATTAAGTTCTAAAGGACCTTGGAGACCTTGAATTCTACTTTGGAGTAAGCAGTAAAAGAAATTCAATAATATTACCAGGAAAAGAAGTAAATGCATATTTGGGGGATAAGCCTAATAGGAATAAGACACTTAAGCTTCTGGCATATTTGGAGGTAATAGTGATTAAATGGGGTCAGGCAGGTTCATGGAGAGCTGAATGCTTGAGGAAGAAATCAGACTTAATACTGTAATGGTCTTTCTCCTAGAATGAGCATTTAGAACTTAATTCTTGGACAGATCCCCCCCCCGGGGGGGGGGGATTGAACTCAGGCACTTGCACTTGCCAGGCAAGTGCTTATTCTGCTGAGCTGTCTCCCCAGCCCTAGAACTTAATTCTGGTAATTTACTTAGTAAATAATTTCGTTAGCTGGAGAGATAGCTCAGTGGCTTAAGAGCCTGCCTGGCAAGCACAAGGTCGGGTTTGATCCCTGGCACCAAAAAAAAAAAAAAAAAAGAAAAAGAATTTCTTTAATGGAAAAAAAAAAGATGGTTCTTTTATCTTAATGATAATATATGTTTGAGTGCAGTTAAACCAGTGGCTGCCCCCACCTGTAGTCACCTGCCAAAACTCCAAGCCACATCTGACACATTTCAGAGATAGCTATACTATAACCCAGCACTTGGGAGGCTAAAGCAGGAGAACTGTGAGTTTGAATCCAGTCTGAGCTGTGTAGTGAGGTCTGGTTTGCAAAACAAAACATAATTGAGACAAGGTCTTATGAAATTCCTCCAGCTCATCTTTATTTATTTATTTTTTATGGGAGTAGGGATTGAATTTAAGGTCTTTGCATAGAGTTACATCCCTAACTCATTGTTTTGAGACAGGGTATCACTGAGTTGCTCATACTCACCTGTTTCGGATCTTTTTGCCTCAGCCTTCCAACGTCCTGAGATTCCAGACTTTTATCACCACACCCAGGTTTTTTCCTTAGCATATATTTTTTAGACAAAGTCTCACTATGTAGCCCACGCTGGCTTTGAACTCGTGTTAATCTTCAAATGCTGGAATTACAGGCGTACAACACCATGCCTGGCTCTCTGTTTGCAGTACATACTGATCACATTCATCATGGGTGAATGTGTATATGTCCATAGCACATCTTAATTCTTTTTTTTTTTTTTTGTCCCTTATCCCTTCTTTCCCTCCACACTTACAAAAATTCTATTTCCATTTTCTTCTTTTAGTTTTTTCTTTAACCCCATCCCCAATGCCTGTGCCCCTTCCCATTTGAATAAGTTCTTCTTCTTTTTTAGTATCTCCACTCCATATTTGTTGGATTTCTCATAGAATTGAAGTAATATAATGTTCAAATTTGTGTCCCTGAGCTGGGCATGGCAGTGCATACCTGTAATCCTAGCACTCAGAAGGCAGAGGCAGGAGGATCACTGTG